CCTTGACTATCATACAGACAATTTATTTGCTCCTACTGCTAGACTATCTACAGTGCAATTAATATTAGCATGGGCAGCATCTAATAATTATGAAATACATCAGATAGATATAAAATCAGTATATCTGTATGGACAATTGATGGAAGACAAGGAAATATATGTTAAACCTCCTCCAGGTAACTTAATAGACAGACTACAGAATGGACAAATATTACAATTACAAAAAGCACTATACAGATTAAAACAAGCTGGTAGAAGATGGTATAAAACACTATCTAATATACTACTTAAATACAGATTAACAAAATCCAAACATGATAATGCCATATTCTTCACAAAGAAGAAAGAAATAACTGTAACCATATTATTTGTACATGTTGACAATATTACTATTGTAGCAAAGAATAATAATACTATTGCAATGATAAAACAATCTATTGTACATCATTTACAATATACAGACAGTAGTGAATTACACTAGCTACTTAGTATAGAGATTCAACACAACAGAGAGTATAGATTCATCAGGATGTGTCAGACACATTATATTAATAGTATAATAGAACGTTACAAACTTACAAACGAACAAAGTGTACAAACACCTATGCAGCCTGGTACACAATTAAAAATAGTATTGCAAACTGATAACAATAGAAAACAAATGTCTGATATACTATACATGAACATGGTTAGTGCACTTAGATACATTGCAGACTGTACACAGCCAGATATAGCATTTGCAACAAATCAGTTAGCAAAATACCTCAATGACCCTAGTATGGAGCATTATCTAGCACTTAAACATTGTTACATGTACTTAAAAACTACAAACAATGTCTGGCTCCAACTTGGTAGTACAAATCAATCAATATTGAACAGCTATACAGACACAGACAGTATGATGTAAGAAGGGCATTGTGCAATATCAGGATATGCATTTTACTTAAGCAATTCATTAGTTTCATAGTCAAGTAAAAGACAAACACTGGTGGCAAATTTGATGTATGAAGCTGAATTAATAGCTCTTGCAAGAGGAACACAGGAAGCAATCACACTTACTCATTTAGCTGAAGAGATTCTGCAGGTCTCTGATACACCAATTAATATCTTTTGCAATAACAATGCTGTTATACAAACGGTTACATTGGATGAACTCAAATATTCGGAACGAACAAAGCATTTAGATTATAAGAAAGATTTTATTAAATGCTACATTGAGTTAGAGTACATAAATGTGAAATACATACAGACAAACGATCAACAAGCAGATATATTAACTAAAGTGCTACATGTACCACAAGTCAAACATCTTACCAGTTTACTCAGACTAGTAAGAGTTTGAAGGGGAGTATTATGAGATGATTAGTTCATCAACAGACGAACCACGAGACAATGACTTCATAATGTCTCAGTTAGAATACATACAATATAAGGACGAGAGACACTGAGCAGTCAATCGTCACCTCACCCCTTGTCTATGCGTGCCCCCCTTAAGTTCTCCCTCTCAACAACATCACAATGCCCATTCCTCATTGACAGGAGGCTCTGGGTCAGAGAGCCTTGTCGCAAGAGAAGAGACTGTTGAAGAGTACCTACCTAAAGACATCTTGCTTGATCTCACTTATGCCTCTACCGTGTTTAATAACTTTGGCAGTCTAGAAGCGACGGAGATGCTAAAAAAAAAGAAGTCCGAGTGTGATTTTTATCCGGGCGGTATTATCAAAAGATGTGAAGACAGGAGAGGAGAGGGGGGAAAGGAGTTGAAAAGACGCAAATACGATGAAGAGAGTCAAGGATGCAGTGAAAGGGTTGTCCGACGATCAAGAACTGGCAACAATGCTGGTGACCAGGTTGACGAGGACGGAAAGGAATTCGACTTCTGGGACGGGTTTTTAGCAATGCAGTTGAGGATTCATGGCATTCGGCCCGAGGACATTGAAGCAGAGGAAGAACGACGCAGAAGAGAAACGGAGGAGTTGAATGCACAGAGAATTGCTAGATGGCGGAAGGCTGTTGATGAGAGCCGTATATAGACACAAATACGAGCGGCATGGAAGGGACTTGTATGAATACGAACGCAGCAAACACAATCTTCACACACTACCGAAGAATGAATTAAGCGAACGGTGCAAATGAAGTCTAAGATTGCTAGACAGAACGTCAGGTAAAGTAGAAAGACTCTGGTCGTTTGGTGGGAGACACAAAAGCCAAATGTATAAAAAATAACTAAGATAAAGTACCAACCCTCCGGCTCTCGGTAGCAGAATGTAAATGTGCTCAGCACTCGATCACTGACTTGCCACTGAAGTCTTGATTGTTGGTTTGGCAAACATCTCCTGCCCTTTGGCCGGCTATCCCAGGTATAAAATCCTGAAAAGTATTCTACTTAGTAAACAAGGAGAAAACGACATGCCAACGTAATACACTCGAACGTTTGGTAGAGGCAATGCATATGAGGCTGAAAGCAGGAGTGCTGTAAGGAGCAGAGAGAGTGCTTGACGGAACATGGCAGTCTAGAGAAAGGGGAGAAAGGTAAACAGAAAGGTTCAGTATCGTGTAAAAAATATAGAAATAAAAGAATACTTGTCGTACTGTGCAATGTATAAGATTTAGTACGTAGTTGTCCTGCAACTAGGGATTAGTTGATATTTTGTAAGGAAGGCGGAACGCAATCTGTGGACTTATATCGATAAATGAGGCTATGCCTCCAGAACAGTTACCCCTCCGACCATGTTGTGCCCAAAAGATTTTGCCTCCAAATCATGTTAGAGGCAATGATGCAGCACCGAATGGCGAGATGGCATCACCTAGTGGATATGTAGCATGATCTAGTACTACTAGTAGTAAGTCCTAAAACAGAGGCTCGAGCTTCTATTTTTAACACAAAACAAAGTTTGGTTGGCAAGCAAAGCGAGGCAAGCACTCTTCTGAGACAGTAAGCCCTGTGTCGAGACTGTGTAACCTAAGTACAAAGTTCATCATTTGCCACTGTTGCATTAAATCAGTACTTATTCATTAAGAAGTATATATATGCGGTGGTGCTAGCAGTACGGCGATAAAGCAGACTACTAAATGCTTGGAAACGGTTAATAGTGGAGCCTAGCAGAAGCAGACAGGAAAAGAATAAATTCCGAGTCAACAAGGAAGTCAGCAAGACGTTTCACTGACATTCTATTTGTTACTAGTAGGGGTACTGTCTTCAATCCTGCAAAATTTGTTCACATTTATTTCCGACAATTGTTCACTGTTGGCGTTAGCATGTTTATTGCATGTATAGTTCTGCTGTCAGATACCCTAGGCCAGCAGTTCATGAGCAAGGAACACTGATTTGTATTTCCACCTGTGTTTAATAGGATGTTTCTTCACAGTGATTTTTGTTTAAATATTATCCCAAGCCCTGCCACTTTCCTCCCTTATGACTCCCAAACACTCAACTTTGCAGTTTAGGAATCAAACTACACAATTTTGTATGCTTGTCATGTTTGGCTTGCAACACAGATTCTCAAGCATAAATAAATACTGGGATAGGCAATACAAGAAAGATACTAGTAAGACTATTTGATGCAATCTTGGAAAGAACACAACACTGGAGTTCTGACCTGCAGCATAACGGCACTTAGCACGAAATTACTGATTCTCCACAGAGAACTTGCTTGTTGGTCTGATTAACATTTCCAATCCTTTGTCCACCTATCTGAATAGCTCGAGCCGACTCGCTATTTGGCTGAAGTATCCAAAACAAGTTCAATTAGCCATAGAGCAATTTGCTGTATTAAATATGACTCACTTTTGGTAAAGGAGACGCGTGAATTGTTGCAAGCAAAAGTGTTGAAACTAACAGAGAGACTACTTGGCGGAACATGACAACCTCAATAAAACTGGAGACATTGAAAACTTAATATTAAAATAAGGCTTGAATTAAGAGAACATACGTACTATGCTGAGTTTGGGAAGTAGGAGGTAGTTGCCTTGCAATTTTGGATGAGTTGGCGACTGTAAGGAATGTGGAGCACGAAACTGTGAATTTATATTGAGAAATGAGGCTATACAACTGAAGCTGTCGCCTCTCCAACTTTGTTGATGCAGCTATGACTCAAAACATTTCGCCCCCTATTTTGTTGTTGCGTCTTAAGAATCAGTGATATGGCACAGAATATACAGGCAACATTGTACAGCTGATACGATTGCATTGACGACCAGAACAGCCACGTAAATTTTCGGTGTGGAACAGAATTGATTGATAAGTAAAGCGAGACGACCACTTTACCAGGCTGCCCCAGCGCTAAACCTTAATAGCCTATAAGGATCACCATTCACCGCTGTTACATCAAATTAGCACTAGTGCATCAAGAGACAGATATACAATTATGGTATACCACATTGATTGAAAAGTGAAACGTATGAAGGCAGAATAGCAATAGGGTGTGATGGGGAAATCGAGAAGAAGAATTAACTGAACAAAATCAGCAACAGACATTATTACCCTTCTCGTCCCTGAAAATCTTATCCTTAAATCCGTAAGGTTCGTTCGGATCGACTTCGGGCAATGGTTTATCACTCGTGCCGGCATGTCCATCGTGTTTATGACCCCAATACATCCTCTTGGGATACCATTCATCAATGAGGTCAACCATGGTTTGCAGGTGACCATAAGCCGAAGGCTGCATAGTGCGTGGACGGGACTTCCCAGCGAGGGTAAGGGAAACAGTCCCGGCCGTTGCAACCAAAGCAACGTACAAAAGCTAGAGCAGTGTTAATGATATCGTTTGATAACCGTAGGTGGTATGCTAACCTGTACTGGCCGAATCTGGAAACCGGCATCAGCATTTACACCAACGGCGAGACCAAAAAGCCAGTGAAGGACCGGATCCGAAATGTGGATCGCGGTAGTGTGTCCGCTGATGAACATGCGCTTGAACGGACCCGGCGACGGGTCGGTGCCATGCTCTGTCCCAGCCTCGCGCCAAAGATGTTCATCGCTCACTGCGGCAGCGATAGACTCGGAGCATTGCAACATTGTTGTGATCAAGCCGCCTTGGAACCCTACCAAGATGCCCAAGCCCCATAACATGCCTATCGTCGGAGCTTCGCCTTTCTAGTTGAAGTCCATCAATCCAGTTTCTTTGCTCTTCGGCACCGGATCGGAGTTGTTCGACGGTGATAATGGTATAAGGTCCCAACTGCTCCCTTGATGAGCGCCGTTCGTACCAGAATCCATCATTCCCCACATAATGAATGTCCAATAGTAAAGAGCGGCGACGAGAATCCAGGTGTACATCGTGAATTGACGAAATTGCGGGTGAGACACCCACACGGCTTCTTGAAGCTTCTCAGGGTGTTTTGGACCTTCATAGTGTATGTCGGCCAGGCCGTGCATACAACGACCGGGCCTCCTTGTCAATTCGCCTTTTTCAATCAAGGCGGCAGCCACATCAAAAGGAGACTGGCTCCAAGTTGGTATTTCCGTCGTTCGCATCGCACAGAACGCAATCGCCGATTGCACCAATATGGCGAATCCCAGGACGTACAGCGCTACAAAAGACAATACGGCATTGTATGGGACGGTTTCATCTTGCATGCCCAACAGAACCATGGAGCTCGCCGCATAGGAAATTGTGAGACAGAGAGCCATAATAATATTCGCAGGCAATCCATTAGCTGTCCACCATTTGTACGACGATTGGAAGAAGCGCAGATTTGAATTAAACTCCAGACGCCTCTTGTGTGTATGTCGATCGTGCTCCTTAACCCCTATGGCGAGCGTCCACTTCAAAGCAGTTGCGTGTGCTGTTCCGCTAGACCAAACGGAGATTTTGACCATCGTAACGTTCAAGAGCAGTAACAAAAGCTCTCGGATGTACGAGGGGTTAAGCATGAGACGCAGATTCCCCCCGCTGTACCTACTCCCACTGAGCGGCAGCGCATGAGACTTCATAAGCGTCCCAAGAGTCAAACAGGTAAACCCGAAGAGAACACTGATAATGAGGCCAATTTGTATTCGCTTCCTGGTATCTTGCCCAGGGTCGTATCGGTAACCACTTCCCCCCTCGCTGGCTGCATGGTCATGATCCAACGACATATTTACCTTCGGAGATAACAATTAGATCAACTCAAACTTCAGACAGTGAAAAAGAGGGAATACTCACTCGCTTGAACGCGCTTTGCTTACCGGATAGACCGATAAACAGCATGGATATTCTTGAGTGTATTCAGTGTCGCATAGCCATTATATAGGCACAGGCGGGAAGGAGGATATAATTAGAGCTTCGTGTTGTGCGAGCGATGGACGTGAGGCCAGAGGTATGCAGCCAATTTCCACAATCAATATCTGGTCGGCAAGTGAAGCCGATATCATGAGCTCCTGCCTTTGGAGTCAATTTTCTCTTTGGCTCTCAGAGGAGAATTAAACGATGTTACTCACACTTGAACGATCAAGGATCCGGTGAATGCGGAAAGAGGCTGAAGACCTTGTACTACGCTCAACGATGAGCGCGTATTGTGAATTTCTCGGGTATTAGAACAAAAGTTTGGTACCCATTGTGTCGGATTTCCTGTCTGATTCCAACGTCAACCCGCTCTACGTCGAGTGATCTAGCCCCGCTAGTCACAACAGGGCCAAGTGAGAAACTGAAATATCGACGCGTTCCTACGCGTTTGCAGAAGTGGTCACTGTAGAATGTCCTCTTCGTCCTCCAATGCCTCATAACCGACATAGACGACCTCCGAGCACTGGTCGCAAGCAATTATGTGTCGGTCTTCCTCCATGTCTTCTTCCGTGATGCAGTAGGTGCCTCCGCAACGGCACGCGTGGCACCACTGCAGGAAAGGACTACTCTCGGAATCGACGGAAGAGAATTCTTCCAGAGATATGACTTGTGCTGGTCGAGGCCGTGACACATTCGCGGGTGCATCAGAAACAGCTTTGGACCGGCTTAATGATGCGTCATATACTGCTCGTTCGTCAACGTCGGATAATATGCGGTATGCCTCTTGAATATGGGCGACATCAAATTCCTTAAGGAGTCCAGTCTCAACAGTCTTCTGGTCGGCTGAAAACTTTCTCTTATCGGGATGTAAAGATAGCAGCAGACGACGATAGGCAGCTTTTATTTCAAATTGAGTCGCAGACGGTAGAACTTGGAGAGTTTGGTAATGCGTATCCTGGTGAATGTCCTTAGCCATTGTCGTAGGAAGACACTTGCCTGGGTTTTAAAACTTTTGTATCAGCTTTCGTATTGCTGACAAACTAATCCCAATTAGGAATTTCTCCTTCGGATTGTACTGGGTTTGCCGGACCGTCAATGCCGCCATTGTCAAAAACGCTAGGTACAGAGGTTCTCTGACTGCCTGCACAGTGCTTGTTGGACAAATAAATGCGACTTATAAATATGACCATTGCAGAGAGACGCAAGCCTGATGTCATTTTCTTGAATCCAGGTTTATAGACAAATGGAAGTCTCTAACAGTGATATATGAACAAGTAGAGTAGATTCATATTGTATTCGGCATCACCCTTGAATTTCCTACTCTAATGAAGTCTGTATGACTTAATTTGAGATATTGTAAATGACTATTCCAAAACGGCAATCGCCTTGCTATTGGTAATGCAACTTGCATCAAACAATGCACTAAGTTGCTACTAACTACGCATGCCCTGGTCCTTTCAAAAACCACTTAGAAACATGTGAAGGTCAGAATAACAAATTTCTTGTGAAGGCGCGGCAGATGGCTGAATCAGATTCATTTTGACAAGGTAGCTGATGAAAAAGTGAAATAAAGCATTATTGAGCGCGAGAGTATACTTGTCACGGTAGGTAAGTCGATTGCCCTGATGCATCTCTGACACCTTTTAGAGTTATACCTATTTATTGGTCAAAGTACTTGTCATTTTTATACTGCTATTATATTGTGAGTATCAGAGTAATCCTTTAAATAAAGTTTTGCTCACGTACAGCCACCGACGTCGATCATCTGTGCAGGGGCTCACGTTCGTGCCGCCACCGCATTGTCGAGAACGCCCAAGGCATCCGGTGCTTGGCTCTCAGCAGACCGAACAAAATGGCACAGCGTCCACCAACAACCAAGCCGCGCGGTGTATGTATGTACTTTCGGTCAGGGAGGGGTTGTCGTAATGGCGACATGTGCAAGTTCCTTCATGGTGACGGCGAGACACTCTCGCCTTACGACAAAAGTAAGGTATGCAGATTTTACGCATCAGGTACGCTGATGTTCTCTATTTGTGTCCAAATTATTTCTGAAGGAATGGTTCTGCCCTTGTAGGGTTCTGCAAACATGGAAGTAAATGCTGGTTTCGTCACGAAAGTAGACCAAATACGGTGACCTTGACTGAAACTGAGGCTGGAACATCAACTCGTGGAGTAAACCCGTCTGAAATGAACAAAGAAGATCAGGACAAGCTGTGTTCCATCTGTCAAGAGAAACCTGTGACTTACGGTTTGCTTGGTTCGTCATCAACACGTTGCCTTCTTCAGTGAGGATAACTAAACTAAGGTACACTTGCACAACAGAGGACTGTAGCCATGTCTTTTGTTTGGAGGTCAGATAGGCGGACTTTTCATGAATTTTTCGAGTCGAGATTGCTTATGCTTTGCCTTTCAGTGTATCCGTGGTTGGAGAGACCCAACTGGGAAGTCACAAGATCTGCTGGAATCGGGAAACACAAAAAAATGCCCATATTGTCGAGCCTCATCAAACTTTGTGATTCCCAGCAGTGTATACTACTCAGCTGAAGAACCGAAGAAAGCAATAGTCATTGCCAGCTACAAATCCAGCATGGCTCGCATCCCGTGCAAGTGCGTATTCTGAAGAGGTCAGATGAGCACACTCAAACTAAGACCTTCAAGGTATTTCGAAATGTCTCCCCCCAACTCTCGTTACTGCCCGTTTGGTCGAGATTGTTTTTATCAGCATAAGGAAGCAGATGGTTCTCCGTATGTGTTTGACCGTGGTGTAGATTACTACATGAGCGTGAGTTTCATGCAGACAACTAGGGTACGAAGTATTTAATCTGACAGTATCCTTAGAGACGTCGACGCAGCAATCGACTGCAAAACGCGTCTATCTCAGATTTACTATCTAATATCAGGGCATCGAGAACAGAGAACGATGTTTTGCAATTAATGGAGGACCTTAGAGCTCGCTTTGATCTAACTGCTCGCGGAAGTACTAATGATGGCGAGGACTCTGAAGTTTCACATCTTGCCATTCTCGTAAGTCGTTTATTTTCGTGTAGACATCTGTATTCGCTGGCCTGATTAATTCATGCGAATCTCAGCTGGAAGATGTGCTCACAAATTTGGGAGAGGCACTTATGGGAACTTTTACCAGCTCGTCGGAGGACGGGCGGCCCGAAGAAGAGGAACGATCAACCCTATCGAGGCCCTCAATTCTAGCAACTCCAGAAGATTCCTCGATTAACTCTTCACTTCCACTGACACGAGCTTTTATGGATAACAACATGTCACCAGATAATTTTGACTTGATCGCGAACATGACTGAATCGGAGAGTGACGATGGCACCGACGAAGGCACTTCAACACAAACTTTTGTACCCCACTCTCGCATTCGCAGCCGTAGCTTGCCAAACCTTACGAATACATGGGCAGATGAGTTAATGAGCGCTAGCGACAGCAGGCCCGATGTCGCCGAAGGCGTATACGGATATAGTATCGACAATCGCATTGACAGCACTGGAATACCAACCGGGGAAGCTTTATCCCGTGATGAACAGCAGCAATTCCCAGCTGTTGTCGAATCAATATCGATAAGTGAGGGAGGAGGGGCAGATTCCCTCGGCGCACAAGAGTCTTCTTCGCAAAGAGGCTCGGACGGCCCTCTCGTCATGGGAAGAGGAACGAATGATCATCACTCTTCGCGAATTACCGTAACTCCCTCCTCCGGCGACGAAGTCCAACTTCACGATCGTGAGGTGAGAAGCAAGACTGACGTCCGCAGTGAGCATGTGCCACGACGGATCAAGTCAAATACGGGAGGGACATCATGTAGTGGAAGGCGAAATGGTGGCCAGAGCTTTGTGACGGATGGGAGGGGGCGTGTGGTAGCGACAGACGATGGGGCGCATACGGACGATGCTTCGCTGGCGTTCTGGTCTCCTTCCGTACCTGTAGCTGCATCGCCTTCTGCACCGACAAGTGAGACGGATGGTCGCCTAACGGAGGAGGCAGGTGCCCTTGATGATCTGGACTGATATTATAGAGAGTATTGGGGTTCGTTCTGGTATGGGGAAGTGAAAGGTTGAAAGCGAGGTTGGTGATGCTAGACATCGACCAATCTGGCTCTGTTTGTATCTCTACGTGTTCGCACGTTGTCAACTTCACAAATTTGCATGTACGATTAATCCAGCTCCGCTTAAATGTATCAAAACCTGTGTCTACCCAACGTCTCGTGAGCCTCGCACTGCACCTTCGAAGCCACTGTCATGAATTCGCCCTTCCATTTCCTACTACAGGGCATGTTCTTGTGAAAGAACAGCAGGCAGACAAGCAGACAGAGCCATGTGCAGCCTTGCATAAAGCTCATTGCTTGTAGCACATTTGAAATGGCAAACGAAATCCTTCAAGCAATACCAATACATGTGTTAGATTTCCAGAGAGAAGAAGGTTAGCTAGTACAAGACAGCACTTGAGAGAATGCGCCTCTGGCGAGGATAAGGCGGAGAAGTACAAAAGTCACCGACCAGACAACATGCCTTGATTAATTGTAACCAAAGATTACCTGATCAAGTATAGGTAAGCTTTTCCGGCATCCGTTGAGGCAGTGAATCCCACTATGGACTAGAGGCACATTTCTGGGTTCTACTGTCCTAGGGTCTGTCGAAGTGCGGAGAACGTTGCCGAGATGCCTTATTGTTCGAACTCAAATGACAGATTGGCGTTCCTTCTTGCACAAACGGGAGAAGCACAATCAGTGGCCAGTCGTTCATTCAAGTCCATTCCGGTGCGATTTTACGCATAACGTTTTGGTAAACGAATCTACACATTGATGATCATTAGTTCTACAAGGAATCACTTGAAAATACAAAATCCAGATAAAGCGATTCGGAACTCCCTTGATTTATTTTAAGTTTCGCCGCGGACAGCCTTTACATAGCAAATGCAGCTCCCGCATCAAGTTCGATCACGGCTTGGACCCTGTCCTAGTAAAGCGAGGCTGAGGTGCGGTTGACTATCTCTTATATCGTAGAACAGCCTCGTGCATCGTTACTACCTCTGTTGCTCAACCCATTTCCTCTTTCCCCTTACACGTGAGCATCAAGGGGATTCGTATAATGCTCTCCAAATCACGGCTTCTGTGGCTGTATCAAGTAAATCCTATAAATCTGCTTCCGACAGCTACACTCCTTGGCTGAAGACAGTCAACTCCAACCCTAACTGTACTGTACGACGCAGCTGCACTCACCTACCTCCGTCCACTCGCCATGACCCGAGCTAACGCCAACTACAACCACCACTGTGGCGTGAAGGCATGCAAAGGCCACATCCTCGGCCCTGGCATGGGATGCAGCAAGAATTGCGGTGCATACGTGAAGTGTCAATCGAAATACGGATGCAACAATCAAGTACAGCGTCAGGGCATCTGTCCTGCCTGCGCCGCTAGAGGTAGGTAGTCTGATTCGTCCGATTCATTTTCCAGGCATTGGGAGTTTGGACGGAGTGCTCCACTAAGTCCGATGCTTCGGCAATGCTTGGCGGTTCCCTCGTCACAATACCACGGCTGATGATTCTTTGACAGAGAGAGCACAAAGTTCAATAAAAAGAAGGTCGTCTAATGCAGGTAAATAAGCCCAAAGTAAAGGTGAGAAACTGATTCTAAACCTTTCCCTTTCGCCTTGATGTTGACCTATACAATTTGTCACTGAAGCAACAAAACTGTAGATAGTCACCGCGGAAACTATACGCCTTGGATATGCGATGAGTGGACTGGCCAATGGAATGTCAATGTACACCATGTAATTGTAATGAGAACGATTGCGACCGATATAGTTGTTTGATCCTGTATAATTGTAACCGAAACTGCCGGAAGCATGGTCAGAGACACCACTACATCTGAACACGCAGAATGTAGGACAGAGAGCAGAGCAGTCCTAGAATGGGCGCGAGCAAGACGATACACGGTCTGTTTTCACATTAGGCGCCCATGCAACAAAGAATGTTGGCGTTCTAGTAGACGCCCAGCGCTCTTTACTGTAAGGAAGAGATGTGCACGGCCGATTTAGGTAAGAAATGATGGAACATCTCCAGCTGTCTGCGTCACAAATCTGTATTCCTCAGCCTAGGAGGACTGGAGAAATCAAAGTTGGAATGGAAACGGAATTACGTACGGGAAATATTGGAAGTTTAATAGTTCCTGGCATAAGAAATACTCTTGCTACATCATAATGATAGGACCTGTCTTGTTGAGGGTAGATGTTCAGCTTATACAATTTTGAAGACGATGCGTCTCCGTTCAGAATTAAATCCTAGTCGCAGTGAGCATGCGAGATTGCTAGCGTAGTGCGTGTCAAGAAAACCAGGTACGGAAAATGTGGTAAAAAGAAACACAGTTATCAATTGATTAGCATCAAACTCAGCATCATTATATCACGTGATGGATTAGTACAAAAAAATAGGATACAAAGCTGCTAGCCTGCTCATCACCATCTTCCAACGAGTACGGCGCCGCTAGACACCAACTATTTTCAATCCCTGAAAAGCTAGTACAGTGCATATTATGTCTTGATGCGAGCTCATCGGTATTCAGTAAGCCAACCTGATTCTCGTCACATCTTCGTCTTCATGCTTCAGCAAGAGAACAAGAGCCTTATTGAGGAACTAGTTGAACTTAGGACGGGCTGGAACACTTACGGCATTGGCCGGTGGTCGGGTTCTTGGGAAATATATTCTGCACTATTGACCAAATCTACCTGCTTCTGAAAAACTTCCAGATTGTTATATAAGTTCAGGTGGATCTATCTCACACGGCTTTATACGGGTGTTTCTACCGACCCCTACTTACAAGCTGAGAGATGAAGTCTCGTGACTAGTTAATCAATGCTATTTACCTAGTTTTAACGCTTCAAACAATTCGCACATGGCGGAGGCAGACGAGGACGCGGTTATCACGTCGTTCACTTCCACAGGGACTTTCTACGTCGTTATTTGTCCTGATCATCGCAAACGCACAAGGAGACGCCGAACAGTGACCGATGCCTTGTTTGAATGTGAATCTTCCGAAGCCTTGATCGGCGATATAAGGGAACCGAGCTTATTTATTCATTCCGTAAGGTTTGGACCCCATAGCAGAACTTCGACAGCAGCAGTTCTTATTCAGAGGTCCAGTTCTTTACCTGCTCGCGGGACGCCCTTTACGCCTAGTTCGGCATGTCCAACGGGTTAGTCGATTTGCTCGCGCCAGTCCTCCGCGATGTTGCCAATACTCGGTACTCAGAACGTGAGCCATTCCACCCAATTTAACATAGCAGGCGCTTCTGACTTCTGACAGTGGCATCGAGCGCAATTATCGTACACGATTACTGTGGGTCTCTTCTTGCATATAGAATCGGTTTTGCAGCTGACTCTTATTAATTACCATTAGTTCTTACACTGGACCAAGAGGTGCGTCCGAGTACATAATGCACTGGGACTCACTATTGACTTTACCGCATAGATTCAATTTATTTGGGTACATTCATTACTTGATAACATTCCAGGCAGGCTACTGAGACAAGACCTCACAGAAAGCGAGGTGGACGATTGGAAAGGTCCTCTTTTTCTTGGTACGCGTAGCAAATTTTACTTTGTTCATCAGACCTTTGAATTGATAGAAATCTGTAGAATCGATATTACACTCTTTTTGTGGTCGCGTCAGTCCTCTAGTATTCTTTCCGCGTGGAGAGCTTCTAACTGCTGTCCTGAATGCCAGCTTTAATAATTATGGTCTGCATTGTGCTCTTCTTGCATTAGGTTGCTTACTAATTAAAAATGCCTTAGGTCTTTTTTCGCCATCAATAACAGATGATGTGCGTACCTGTAATTATTGGCGTTGGCTCATTTTCTCACTCAAAATTGCAGTTGTGCGTCTCATGACGGTGGTTATAGGAGCTTTTCTGACATACCAACAGCTGTAAGCCGCCAATTTCCCGCAAAATTGGATTACTCACGTCTGATGTGCATTCATCTAGGTCAACACTGGTTCAATTGGCAGGGTTGGACCGGACTTATCGCTGCTGCACTCGCAGAAAGTGAGCTTCTCTATTCTCGCTGATCTTCATATTTTCCCTTCTATCTTACGAGCCTTTCCCAGCCATACTTCAACTGCGCCTCTATGCGTTGTATTATGGGAATAAGAAGGTGCTTGGCTTGATGATCTGCTTCTTCATCTTCGCAATGGCGTCTTCCGCAGCGGTTATGGGAACTGTGCTGCGCGATGTCAATGGTGCGTACATACGGAATATCATACTTCGTCGTTAGAACTGCTGGAACACTCAAAAAGAAATTCTATGACAAATAGCAAAAGCGAACTTAATTCCTGGAACAAAATTCTGCATACCCTTAGGGATTTCAACCCATTTCTATGCATTCTGGATTCCGATTCTTAGTTTCGAGACTCTTCTGTGCGCGCTAGCTTGTATGCGGGGGTACAAATCGTACAGGGATCACGAAATTCGGAGGCTGGGAAGATTATCAATGCGGCATCGAGATCGGGCTACATCTCAACAGCCGGACCCAAAAAGAGGAGAAATGAATATCTTGGAAATTCTCCTGAGGGATAGTGTCGGCTATTTTATAATGTATGTGGTTTGTTTAATCATGATGTCAAATATGATATTATCAAGTGCATTGACGACTATTTCAGCATTTTCGCAACATATCTTACGACTACGATGATTTGGATATTTGGTCCCGTGAGCGCTTCTCCCGCGCTTTCCACGCCATCAGCTTAAACTAAGTGCGCTCTATCTAGGTCACCGTCATCGAGATTCCCGTTGGCTTCACAGTTGCGCTCTCCAGCGTAATTGCCAACCGACTCTTGCTTAACCTTCGCGGCTCGCAGGCACGCATGAGCTCCAGCGCAAGTGCAAGTGGCAACCATGTCCACAACAATCCGAACTCATCTTCGTATATCCACACTGTTAGTATTAGGGATGGAAGCGTCTCACATATATCAGATGCTGTTGGAGTCGCAACGACAGTAGAGGACGAGCAAGGGAGGGAAGTATCCGGGTACGAACTCCATGCATTGAGAAACCTGAAAGCATCAGTGTAGCATGCACATCTCGGATATTGCTTGATGGAGTGAGGCGCCAGTAAGGTGGCTTTATGTACTTCGTAGTTTATCTTCTTTTCCCCTCCTTAGGGATGTGAGAGCTTGTGTCAGTTATATCGTAAGGTATATCGTGAAGTTTGTCGTGTACATGTCGTTTTGTATGTATTAATGGGAATTTTTCTACATTGCCTAGGCGCAAAGTCTCCATTGCACAAAACTATATGTGTAAATATCTTCATTACACTCAAGCGAGTAGTAAGGTACACACGAAGAGAGCAGGACACCCTGAAACAGTAAGATGTAAAGAAAGGATGAAAGAGGGATAGCGGTGACATCGAATCAGTGCACGGCAAAGCATAGAGGACAGAGGACAGAGGACACAGACACAGAACATACTACCCGTAGTCACCAATAGAAATTTGTAGAATATTCAGCTATGTAAGTAAACCAAAAACTATATATGCACATAAGTACATCCAAAGCCCAGGGGGGAAATCTGAACAAAAGTAAGGAAAGCCATAAAAAGAAAGGCAGAAAAAGGATAAAGGATAACACGTATGTATGTATATATAATTCGTATGCACATCGAAGCGACTTTACAATACGTGAAGAGATTGTTAGTTAAGTATCTTACACACAAATAATAACGATGGTACTAATATCGATCGAATGAATGAAGTGAGAACTAACTGAAGCGAGAAACGAACTTAACGAATATGAACTATGAAGCGAAGAGAAATTTGGTTGTAAAGAAAAAAGGGGCCTGGGTTGGCTCTATGAGAAAACATCAGGATCAGGTTCACCATCCGCGTCTTCGTCATCAGGTTCTCCCTCTGCGTCCATGTCGTCCTCGTCCTCGCCTTGCAATACAGCACCAGGTAAATCTGAATTCGAGATCGACTTTATCGTCGTCGTCTCATCCGGCACAAACGCCGCTCCGTCATTAACTGCATTCATACTGGTACTCGCTAAAGGCGATCCAGATTCATTTGCATCCGCGCTCTCCGTAAGGTCGTCTTGTTCTCTCCTACCGTTCATTTTGCCCAAAACAACGCTCGACGATCCGTTCGGTTCTGATTTAGTCGTAGCAGCGTCCGTATGTGAATCAACGGTGATACCCTCCTGGTCGTCCATGCTGACATCGCCGTTCAGGGGAACAGGGTCACCCTCAGTCTCACCATCTGCATCCACATCCGCATCTGACTCTCCCTCAGCATCTGCGTCGACATCAATATCAACGTCACCCTCTTCCTCAGCCGTCCGCTCAGTCGTTATGCTCTGCTCAGACGGACTTTGTCCACGTCTCGCCGACGAGCGCGTAGAGCGGCCTTTCTGCGTCCCGTTCCTCTGCGAAGCACCCGCCGCACCCGCAACCGCTTGTCCCCGCGCCGATTTCGCTGGAGATTGCGGAGCTACAGACGACTTCGAAGCGCCGTTAAGCCTCGTTGACCGTTTCGAAGGTGAGTTGCTGATCGACAGGGCCTCACTTTCCCCGCCGTTCGCTGCGAGTCTAGATGAATGCCGCCGCGTTACGCGCCCCGTATTATTAGCCTTTGCAGATTCTAAAGCCAGGACCTGTGCCTGCCTGCGCGTCGTTGGTCTATCAGGCGATACAGGTGTCGGAGGTGAAGGGTCGCGAACAGACGGCGCTTTCGGTCGCTTACGCGCTGAGGATTCCTTCGGTCTCAACTCTCGAGAAGCCAGCGTTGGAGTACGAGATAAAGAGTGGGACGCTGATCGTAAAGAACGTGTCTGTATGCTCTCTTCGCGCGCCAGCCGAGCAGCGAGCTCAGCGTCCTTTTCCACGGAAACTCGCTGGTTTGAAGGTGACGGTGAGATAGGAGTATCCGCATCGTCGTATTTGCGCATGGCCAGAGGATGAACATCCGGTCGTGGGCGCTGCATAGTCAACTCATTACTCGCTGGAAGTCGATCATCGTTCTCAGTTTTCGTCGCAGGCCTCCGTGAACGAGTCTCGTGCACTGGTGTCGCCGGGTTGCTATTGGCATATTGTGAAAGCTGAGATGTCGAAAGGGGCTTAGTTGACGACCCGTTCATGGCATTCTGACCCCAGGTTGGTCTACCCGCTTCGCCCAGTGGCAACATCGTTGACGACCTCCTACGCACGTCAACTGGTGGGTTCGCAATCGACACTACACAGGCAACAGCCGCAAGTGCTTCTAAAGCATTATTAACAGAACGTGGTTTCGGTTGCATAACAGGAGGCGGTGAAGGTGTCGGCGTTGGGGACCCTTCTGGCTCGGGTGGATGCTCCGCATCAGATAGTCGGGGCGAATAGTCGGGATTGTCATGCGGGGTAGGAGCAGACGAGACGCTAGGAGCATCTTGGTCTGACTCCGAAACGGGAGTGACAAGGGGCGCAACATCCCGAACATCGGCACCGCCTGTTACTGACACGGATGCTCTAACGGAACCAGATACCGAAGCCGCAGGACCCGGCGTCGTCGGCGTCATCTCGACATCAACAGGACCCGTCGTGAGAACATCTTCCAACGGGGTCACGAGTTTGTCTGCCCTGGATAGAAGGAACGGCGCCCACTTCAGCTTCTCTGGCTTCAGCGTCAGGTACCCCTTCGCATTCCACTCTTCCAGAAATTGGCTGACTTCATCGGCGTCCCAATGTATCTCGTAATTCGTCGGGGGAACGAATGGCTTCGACGACTTTTCGTCATCTGCCGGTTGAGCCTTCTGCAGATTTCTCCGCGCGACGCCGTTCTTTCGATTGCGCGTCAACTTGACCGAACGTCCGGGGGATGGGCGCACTGGTGAAGAAGGGCCCTCACGAATCGTGATCATGTCGAGGTACACAAGCGTATGATATATATCCTCAATAGTCATACCCGTGCCCGCACTAACATCTGTTACAAGTTGAAGTTAATAATGTGAGATCAATGTTCGCATCACGAGGTGTGAACAAACCTTCTAGGCGCGGATTACTCGGAGCCTCATGTAATAACCGCATTATAGCCAATGTCCAATATTTCTTGTAGCCAATAGCACCAAGCGCGGACAAAGGCCTCTCTGGCGTACCGCATTTGGCCTCCTTTTGTGACAATAGGTAGCCTTTGACAAAGGTCAGTTCAGCTCAGTTGAAGTAAGCGAGAACACACTCACTGAAATCGATCAACAAGTTTCCCCATCCCTGCCGTTGCCTCACCGGTAAAGTCATAATGCAACTCAAATTAAGATCCTTCGAGCTCCTTTTCTCCTTGCTGAAATATCCGACGAAACGAGCACCAATATCGTCCACTTCCGTCATGACATAAAACAAGAACGGTTCGACATCGTAGAAAAGTGATTTATGATCAAGGAACATCTTCGAAAGAAGGCATAGGTGCTGGCAATATATCTAAAAAGGAAATGTAATTATTATGGCATGAGAATCGTGGGTGGACAAGGACACGGCGCATGGAAAACCTGAAACGCACCTTGTTCTTCCGGCCATCCACCTCAAAAATAGATATCGAGCCGTCTCGGTAAATCTCATCACCGGGCGGATGCCGACACTTACACTTTAGCTATAGAGACTAATTAGTCCAAGGTCTTCGCTGCTTCACGAAGAAATAACATACCCGATGCCGCTGCGCTCCAAATCGACTCTTCATATACTTCAAACAGAATTCACAAATCCAAAGGCGTCCCTCCGGGATATTGGAGAACTCTTCAGGAAAGGGTGCATCATACCACGTCTGAATGTCATACGGCCCAAAACGAATTGTTCGGATGCGAAGGATAGATGGGTCGTATTTTGCTGGAATGTGCGGAGGACCAGGCGTTGAAGGTGTTGGAGAAGTTGAGCTTGAAGTAGGAATTAAGGCTTGTGTCTGTTGTTGCTGCAGTTGATGAACTGCAGAACGGAGTGGGAAACGACCACTTGAAGGCCCGGGAATGGAAGATAAATCAATAGGGTCGGATGGTGGCGGAGGGACAAGTTTGGACTATAAGGATACCAACCAATGAGCCTCAAATTAAGATGAGAATTAAATAATAAAGACGTACTTCTGCAATGACTCGTGACTTCTCAAACCTCTCCTTGTCGCCATTCAGTATACTCGTCCTTGAGGTATCACGCTGCCATTCGTCAAGAACATCGTCAAACATGCTCTTCTTTGACTCGTCCTCTTCATCCTCCTCTCGCCCTTTCCCTTTGCCAGGTAAACGGATCCGAACCATCACCCTTGGCCTGCTAGCTCCTGTGTGTCGCGGTCGTACAGGCGGAGAGGGCGAGCGCACGTTCAGCTTCATCTTCTTTTGCGGACGCAATGGAGGTGAAGGTGGCTTTACGTCGTCCGGTATTGATTCACTTCTTCTTCGAGGGCGCGTGTTAGATTTTCGGCGACCATTCAGTGAAGCTCGCCCTCTCGGGGTTGAAATAGGCGGGTACATCTCATCATCATCTTCCTCCACTGCTTCGACCTCCACGTCCACGTGTTCCTGCTCTTCTTCTTCCTCCGACAGAATGAGTGCGCGACCCTTCCCCTTCCTGTCCCTCTTCTGTGATTTTACCTTCGCCTTTGAGCGTGACTGCCGTTGCGGCTCGGAATGAACAGTTGACGGAGCTAGTGACTCCTCGCGAAGAGCAGGATCTATCTCCATCGCTATGTCCGATTCCATCTGTAATGCGGGGTCTATCTGTGGCTCCTGTACAAGCTGCGGGTCCAGGACCTCCTGTCCAACAGAAGGCCGTTGCTGCGTCTCGAATACAATAGCTGCAGTGGAATCAGGTGGTGGCGGGCATTGAGGGCAAAACCATGATCCTTCAGGATTCTCCTCGAGAGGTGGATCGAGACAGTATGTATGCCAGCCTACAAAGATATTAATAGACGTATCAAGTATTCAAGCAAAAGTAAACATGCCTCGATCACAGTTGTCGCAAAAAAGAATGCGTGCCTAAAAGTTAAATGGCTTTTCAGTACTATTTTTACGAGATAAGCTTAACAAGTTAACGCACCTCATTGCCCTTCTCGTTGCAAATCTCGCAGGCTTTGCAGTCAGAACATTTCCAGGGGTAAGTGCGAATTGTGTCTCCAACGGCGCCGAGTTCCATACAAGATGGGTGCCCTTCAAAGAATAGTCAGACAGACGAATAGCTTCACAAAATAGAAATTCTATGTACCACACCGTCCGCACTCGCTACAGGTCACCATATGCTCCGGTTTTCCTGTCGTCTCGTTCATGCCGTCGTTGCCGTTGCAGAAACTACACATTTCCTCCCGCCGTGGCCTTCGCTTACCACGCTTGACAGGCTTGTGTGTCATTGCCGAGTGGTCATCTGGCGCGCTCCCGATAGTAGGTTCGGGGAAGAAATGCGGCGGTGGCGCGAAAGGATCGCCTTCTGGTCCTTGAGGATATTGTCCAAATTGGTAAGTGGGAGACATAGGAAAGGATTGGTGGATCGAATCGTCCTAAGAGATAGTACGTTTAAGTATGAAAACTTAATGCGTTTGTTTATCATAGACAAAGGTATGAAGGGGAATAATGGGTCCCACATAGCGCGACGCGACGCGTCCGGTGAATCCATGGTAGGATAAAACACACTGCATAGTATACGACAGATTGTAAGCTTACCTGCTGTACTACATGTCCATTCACACCATTCACACCATTCACGTGGGGTAAGTACGCTGGTGCAGAGCTGGGTCCACTCAAAGCTGGGTCGAATGGGACATCGGAGAGCAGAGGCGCGCCGACACCGTTTGCGCCTTGACCTGGAGAGACGAAATCAAGGCTCTGCCCGCGATTGAGCAGTGCTTGATCCGGGAACGGCAGTCCCCGCATGCTGCAGCAGGCCGCAAAGAGTTGTGTTCGTCGAGACGGACAGAGGGACGTGTATAATAGCTGGTAAATACGCTCAACGCTGGGCGACACTGTAGCCGTACCTCAAGGCGTGGGAACATTTGGCTCTGTTTTGATCAACTTTATTTCTCAAAAAGACAGTTGGGTCCTCGATTCTCGTCATCCCTCCAATTTGCTCAGTTTAATATTAACTGCCGTGTGTGAGCCGGACGTAGTCAACCAATGTACTTCTGGGGAGCTAAAATGTAAGTTTGCGTTTCCACTTAATCGGAGTTGAGTTGCTGCATTCTCGTGTGCATTCTTGTCTGGGCGTCTCTAGCCCTCTCGTCTTCCGCTCTTGAACTCCGCAGCATGAGTTCCTCCCCAGCTTCCCGTATTTTTAATCACAATGCCTGGTATTTTACGTATGTTGACTGCCATTTGTGCGACGAAGACGAACAGGGATATGACACTAATTAGTTAAGTATCCCCTATTGAGTACGTTACAAAATCACTCCCCATCAAATAGAAGTTCGGTCCGATGATTGAGAAGCCTTGATGTATTTGCGTGCTAGAATTCAGCCGTGTATCGTGGCTTAGATGAGCGGCATATCACCGGCCAACCTTTGATATGCCATAATTGCTAATACATTTAGGCATTCCCAGCGCTCAGCTGAACAACTGCTAAATAGATTGCTGAATAGTGCTTCCGCCCAGGTTGTGCCTTTCACAAAATGCCCTGCCATTCATGATTCCAGACACAGATACCGATAACCGGTCAGAATAAGAATGCTGGTAAACATCGACGTTTTTGATCCTTTAGTTCCGCTAGTTTTCTCCTTGTATCTGCAAAGCAGAACTAGCCTGTTCACCTTTTTCAGGAAATTTGCATTTTGTTCAATTCTCTGTAGAAGCAGGCTAGCAAGTGCTTTAGACACGAAATTGCCTTTGTCTTCGGTCAACTACTCTCAACGCACTCCGTTCCTGCACTTCTCAAAGTCCTCCAGAATAACTTGAACAGCAACAGCATATTGAAGAATGGTGTAGTGCCTTATAGCTAAATGGGCAGTAATAAGCTTACTACGCTCTGCACCCAGAAAAATTGAAATCAGAAGCGTAGTCATCATTTTGCATTAATAAATAAAATAGCTTGGATAATACAGTAAATATTGCCTCAATTGAAGCCGTGCTTGCTGTGCGAACGTTTGGTATTGTTTTGGTTAATCTTATTTCTTTCTCAAATCGACAGCTCTTTCCAGCGCCGAAAAAGTAAAATGCTCGATCGATATTATGAGTGGTAATGCGGAGATCTAAGATAGTTGGCCCAAAATACCTTTGAAGAACTGTGAGTGGTAAGGTTACGCCTCCAGGTCGTCGGAGTCGTATTCCGATATTCTCGTAGTCATTACCAAGTTATGCAGACCTCTAATCCTCTCCACTTCCGTCCGCCAATGTCTCCTCAGTTCCTTTACTTCGAGCTCAAGGAGATGGAGTGTTCATACATGTAGACTGCCACTGTCGACCCTTGCCTATCATGCATCAGCATGACTACAATTTAGTCTCATCAGACAGAATAATCCGATCCGATGATTAGAAGTCAAGTGTTTGAGTGACAGAATCCCGCTGTGCTTAGTTGGGCGAAACTTCGCCGACTTCCTTGTGCCATAAGTACATATATTAGACATCCTCCGCCGTTGAGCTGAGGTGAGCTGTAGTGGTGAGCAGCGTTACCTCCTCGGCCTGCGCCTTTCGCGGACTGAATGGGGATGCCGGGTTTATGCCGATTACTGCGGTGCAAAGCGGTCGTGAAAAATACAGCAAGGTACTACTCCAGTAAGCACTATGTCTTGCCATGCCGCCATCAGCTGAGCTGTCTAGTGTCGGTCTGGATTGGGGTGCTCGTCGCGGCGTGAATAGTGACGCAGTATCTTCTTGCCTGCTGGCACGGCGATCTCTCACATGAACTCACCCTCGATAGTGTTCGCTCATTGCCGCGCGGACTTTAAACTGACCCTTTTCTCGCCCTTTGCAAAGCAGCTTCCATTTTCCGAAGGAGGGTGGAAAGCTGATCAGTCTTGATGTCTCGGGCCACGCTGAACTGTTCGGCTTCTAAGCGGCGTCCGGACTGGGCAAACCAGCTAGCCACGGACTCGGGTTAAGCGTCGGCCTGTGCTGTTGGAAAGTGGAAGGTCCCTGGTGGGAGAGAGAGTCGGCCGGACTTGCAAACATATGAGAGGTGCACCGATGCGTAGCGATCGGCCGTTCTGGATCCAGTCTCGGGCGGAAATCAAAGCGTAAGGACGTCGTGGCGAGCGGCTCTTTGGTGCGATGTGCGAGTGAGGAGGCTGCTGACGCTGATAGGAAGTCATTACGGATGACCCGACCAGTGGTGGCAACCGTGCAGGCCGGCCGAGTGTTAAATTGAGAAAAATGCAAAAAGTAATAAGTACAAGTAATTGTATTCATTAGGTTTAGTTCCGTAATAAGGAAAGGCGGGCAGTAAATTCCTGTGGCTTGGTCCGTGGCCAGTGATGGTAAGGCGCACGTGCCTCTTCCTACTACTCCCGCTGTCGCCCTCCCTCGCTCACCCTCCCCCAATTGCTCAGCTACCAGAGTCCGTCCACATTTTTGTTTTTCCTTTGTTGTAGTAGAATAGGATAACCAGAGACAAAGGCTGTGTGTTCCGTGGCTTAGTGGCCAAAGAAAAAAATTAGGGGTGGAAAAAGAGACCAGAAAAGCGGCGACTGCTAGGATGTTGTTACTTTGTTTGTCCTCAAGCTGAAATCATCGTGGATCGTGGGGACCCCTCTTAACCACCTCACTCACTCTTTCCTTCTGCCCACCACCACCTCATCTTGCTCTCCCCAATGATGCAGGCAGCAATCCAGCAGCTGCCGTCGTCTCACTACGCTCCCCAGCTTTCTCATAGAGCTCAGTACTTGCCCGTCAGGACCGCCATCAACGGTACGGTGACGCGGACAGCGGCGACCAATGGGCTCCCTATCCCTGTGCCCACCCCGCCTGTCTCCAGAAAGCGCAAACGACCTCCTGCCAACTATTCTGTCTCCTACAGTGAGGTCCAGGAGGTCGACGACGACGGCAAACTGCGCGAAGTCATAGTTATTGAAGACACCCCTCCCCCTCCAGCCACAATTTCACCCGCTTACACGACATCCACAAGCAATGGCGCATATTCCGTATCGATGCAATCTCCCATTTACGGTGCCCCTGTACGCACTCGAGCGCGCGCTGCAGAGGAAGCACAGCTACTCAGTGCGAGCACCTCTTCAAGTTCTGGTGGTATCACAGTTCCCGCTCTCAAGAGACGCAGACGAGAACCAGAGCTCAGCAAGGTCGTACAGGCTAAGAAGGCCGCCTCAAACACAAAATACGCTCAAACTCAGGCAGCTAATGGCAGAGTCTGGGCGAACGGGGCCACCACCACAACGACTGTGACCAATGTACGTGGCTCGTTGTTGACTTGCATCTGATAACGCTTGATTAACAGCCGGCTTGTTGCACTCCTTAGACTCAGACAGAGATGACGCATCCTTCCTGCGACGATAAGGAAGGCCATTATATCGTTCAACCAGATGACATTATTTACAGGCGATGTATGTTGTTGCACTTTGCGGGTTCCTGATCGTGCCGGCTCACTTTCCTCTTTCAGATCGAACTGTCCGACTTCTGGGGCAAGGCACTTTCGGGAAAGTCGTCGAGGCTATCGACACACAAGAACAGAAGAAGGTCGCAATCAAGATTATTCGTGCTGTCCCTAAGTACCGAGACGCAAGCAAGATTGAGGTGCGCGTCCTACAGAAGCTCAAGGATCGTGATCCATTCAATAAGAAGTACGCATTTCCTTCACGGCTTCTTGCCTTTTCTTTACTCATCATATACTAGTAAATGCGTGCACCTCTTACATTGGTTTGATCATCGCAATCACATCTGCCTTGTGACTGAGCTATTCGGCATGTGTGTATACGACTTCCTCAAGGCGAACAACTTCCAGCCATTTCCCCGACGTCACATCCAAGACTTTGCCCGTCAATTGCTGGGAAGCGTGGCTTGTGAGTCTGACCTCTTCTTTAATCCCGTCATTCGCGCATATACTAATCTCCCTCGCAGTCTTGCATGAACTTAAACTCGTTCACACGGATTTAAAGCCGGAGAATATCCTCTTTGCCCAGAACTCGTTCAAAACCGTATCTTTACCTAGTTCAAAGGTTGGCGGTGTTGAAATTCCAGATGAATCTTCCAGTGTTGACGAGTCTGCGCAGCGTGGTGCTCCTCCACGACAGAAACGCATAGTCACCAACACGGACATTCGTCTCATAGACTTTGGAAGTGCTACTTTCGAGGACGAATACCATTCATCAGTCGTTTCAACTAGACATTACCGAGCTCCAGAGATTATACTTGGTAAGTTCCGTGGATTTTGGTTAGCGTTCCGTCTGAAATCATTCATCAATACACTATTATAGGTCTGGGCTGGTCATATCCGTGCGACGCATTCTCGCTGGGTTGCATTCTCGTCGAATTCTATACAGGTGTGGCCATCTTCCAAACGCATGACAATCTCGAACATCTAGCTATGATGCAAGCTGTCATGGGTGTCATGCCGGAACGATTTGTCCGTGCAGGGGCACGTTGCAAGCCCGAATACTTTAAGGACGGGAATAAACTAAATTGGCCTCCAAAGAAGGTTTCACGGCAAAGCAGGAGAGACGTCCGCGCAACGAAGAGCTTACGGGTCAGTGCATTGCTGTTTACGTACACGTACATACTTAACGTTGTTCTTCTCTTAGGACATCATCCCGCCAATAGACATTGTCAATGAGCATTTCCTAGATCTCGTCGCTCGACTATTGGCGTTCGACCCGCAAGACCGAATTTCCGTCCGTGATGCCCTGCAACATTCATATTTCAACCTCAACGTCCCAATGGAAGAATATTAATAGACGGCCTTCACGCTTGCTTTCGACTTTTGGTTATCTCGTGCTTTTAACCCTTCGCCTTGTCCGTATCGCCGCCCAATCACGCCCAGCATCGACAAACAAACAAACAAACAAACATTGCTTACAACCCCAGCACTGTGCCGACACTTGCATCCATAATGCGTTCCATTCATCCCCTGGCCAACAAACTCCTGGTTATTCGATACCACCTTGTACTATGCCAAATCCAAACCAAGTCTCAATTACAGCGTACAAATATGCATTTTGCACAATCGTGATTACCCCACACGTTACATGCATCGTATTCCCTATGCTTATCACCCTATAACCAACAATATCTACCCAGACCCTTGTGCAACTACTCGTATAATCATACCTTCATCGTTGACCAGGAAGGACTAGATTCCGGATACGCATCCCCTAAATCTTCTCTTTTTGTACCTCCATTCGTTTCGCTCGTTACTATCCATCCCCATTTCGCGGCGCTCGGAAAGGCGAAGACTGTCAGGGTTCTATCGTTCTCTTCTGTGCTCTGTTTATATCATCAATCCCGGTACCAAATTTCTTAAATCTGTCTTCTTTTTTCCTTCCCACTTTTTTTATAAAGATCTCAAATTTCTTTGTAACAGTATCGTATCCGGTTTACCGACCCATTTCTTATATTGTTATCAATAGGACCCGTGTTATGGAACTCGAGGCTGACGCTGACGATTACGATAGTGCACACGGATTTCGAACTGGATATACCTAGGTGTATAACAGAAATTGGTACAGGCACCGAATGAAGTCGATCTATGTGCATGCCAAGTCCGATTCCTCAAGATCCTTCCGGTTTTCTGCTCTCGGCAAGGCAGGACAAAGAGCAACAATAATGGATTCAAGCCACGTACGCGCAATGTAGTCGTCATTGTCCTGACTCATCCACACACACTACAAGACGACAAGATGAAACACTAATAAACACTACCCTCGTAAACGAAATTGGTCGAATTTCCTCTTATCTGATCGGCTATACAATTCCAAGATTCACACAGTTATCGATGTTGCTTTGCTCATCACTTCCGGATTCCGATTCCAGCGTCTGACAGGTACTGTATTATAAAGAGTTGTTTCGTTTGATCAAGACCATTTTCTCGGGCAACATGGGAATCCAAGGTAATTATTAATAGATTATATTACCAGAGTCGATACATAGAAATTTTAACGAATTTGAAAATTGCTGAAAGGTACGTGATTGCAAGTTTGTACGATCTGATGAAATGATGACTGCTTTTGGCTCAAACGACGTTTGTGGCCTGTGGCCTGTGACCGGATCAAATATTCTTTGATTGTGGGCCACGGCGAAAAATGTCGAGGTACGTCCAATACTTTATGTCTCTGGGCTGTTGTATTGACTGGACGTCACTGACGCCTTGGCTTCATTTCAAATAGTTTTAATACTGGTACGGTACGCATCGAACGATTACTGCTAGTACCGCCACTGTGTTCAATTGATCGAAGCGCATGTATGGTCTGTATTTCGAACGCCTCCACCAGTGTAACATATACGGTCTGCACTGCATGCATCTGCGTAATGCATATTGATGTACATCACTGAATGCTAAGTAACTGGTATGTTCATGCATCCGTTCATATCCCATTCATGGAAGGCCGGGATGTTGGGTGCACCGATCGTTGACTCCTGCATTGCTCTCAATAAACTGACTTGATCCTCAAAGGTTTCGTCGTCTTGCACGGTAAATGATCTGCTTCAATTGGGACCCTAGACTGGAACGCTTGCAAATTTGCTACAGATTGGAAGGTACGTAATGGCTAATACTACAAGTTGGTAAGTATCTCCCTTTTGTGGAGTCCGAGTCCGAGTCGGTGCTCAAGCATTACAAATGGTCGATCGATTATTTTGGCGAGGACGAGTAAATGATGAACGGTTTACTTTGATTTCCGGCATACATCGATCAAGTGTCGCTGATGCACGGGTGAGGTAGACAACAAAATGCATTACGGCCGTACCTAAGTACACTGCTTGCAAGCGATACATGTGTACATAACCTTGGCCCGCCATCAAGTGTTCAATGAGCGTTGAACGTTCGGGTCAGCGGCGCATAGTTCGCAATGCACTCTAGATACCGCTGCAAATTAACGTAAGTGCATACTACATGTTCGTCCTACAGCGGAAAGGCCGATCAGCAGCACTGAAGCCATAAACATTTCTATTGCCATGGTTTTTCCGTTACAAGTTTCGGTGGATTGAAAATTTCCGTCGAAACCGAAGCGGCGAGATCGCAGCACCGAGCAAAACAGGATGCTGTACACTTCGAGCCACAATATCATTGCATCGATGGGTACGTACTTGCCTTTGAATAATAATTTGTGTTCAATGGCTTCGAGGCTGGCCACACAAACGATAATGATTTGTGGTGGGCAAATTCTTTCTTTACTTTTCCCTTCATCGATTATTAATTTTTAACAACAGTACTAGTCTAGCTTATCTTCGTGCGTGACGGAAATACGTTACACCTACAATTTGCAATGACGAAACGTGCAAGAGGAACAGGATCGAGACAATACCAGCCACCGAACCGTTCCAATTTACTAAATCAGAATCTCACATGTTTCGCATGTGCTTGGAATTCCTTCTTCACCCTCCCTGCACTCTTCAGCATCGGGGCGTGTGAACAACGGCAGTCTCACTGTATGCGGCTGTGGCTCCACACGTGCGATTACCATTTGTCGTTTGCCAATTGCAGTCCTTCGTAGTCTCGTTCTGGCTGCCCGGGACCTGATTGCTGTGCCTTAGTGAAATATTAATAACCCTGTCGTATTTTGGTGGGGTCGAAACAATGCGTATTCCCACTTGGGGTGCGAGTCCGCGAGAATAGTGCTTTATTTTTATCAAAAAGTTATACTCAACTCAAACCTGCTCCAGAACTAAGGCAGCTCTTAATCAGGTCGCCTGGATGCACTCGAGACTCGTTTAATGCGGAACACTGACTATACAAAATCGGATCATCAAAGCCTCCGCTCCGAAGCAGCGTAGTGAACTTACTTGATATCAGTCTACCGTCAGGCAGCAAGCCTTAACCTCCACTGCGGCCGGAGACGAAACTTGGAAGTAATTTTGTATCGAACAGCACCCCGAAACGTAAGCACTACTCCATGTTGCATTCCTCAGTAAATTAAATTGCGCAGTTTCTGTGGTTAACAACAACAATAGTTCTTTCCAGGACGGAGGGAACTGTTTCTAGTAATGAAGGCCTGCGCAGCCTCTCCGTAACTCTTCCACTCTGCTCTACTTCTGTTTTACATTGACTCATGACTAACCAGTTTTATGCACGCATATACCTAGGTAGCACTGCACGACCATAGCCTCCAAGCTCAGCCAATCAGCAGAGTGCAATCTAGACGAGCTAATCCACCATGTTCCTCAAGGTCCAGCCAACCACGCCTCTCGCTCGCTATTACGACGAGGGTTTCGATACTTGAGTCGATCGAACCAAATCAAGCCACCAAGGACATATCTACAGTCCAGCTCTGAGAGTACTGGTCCAATGACGCACCATGGGAACATCATAATTACGAAGCACCCTCCAAAAACTCTCCTCTCTAAAGTTCCTGTCTAAAAGTGCCAACCATTCAGTGGTATTCACTACCCCTGCATCTCCAAGTTCTAACTATTGAGTCTCAAAAACTCCCACAGATCGAAGGTCGATAAAGTTGAGGGTACGGATACCTCGGGGAGAATGGATGAATGGACCGTGGATGAATAGACGACGGGGGTGACCGGTGCGTACTGAATTGTTCCCGGTCCGCTGATCGTACTCTTTTATTTTTAGATCACCGTAAGTCAAGTCAGGCTACACATGAATAATTTATTTTCTACCGAAGATTTGCTCCTTTCCCCTTGACTACTGTATTATTTCCACACAGCAACACTAGCTGTAGTGTGTATCATATGTCTTTATGTAGAACTACAGTAATATACTCAACATTCAAATCGATACTATTATTATTTAACAATTTGTCAAATTTATGAAAAGTACACAAACACTCTATAACTGATCATCTTTACATTGCACTTAAAAAAACTAGTTACAGTAGAAAATATCCTTATTTATCATATTGAACATATATACCACTTTACATTGGTTATTGCTCATGCCCAAACCAAAAACCCCAGCCAATACACATTACCATAATGCATAAATTGTATAATGCATCTCGTATTGCCTTATCCTAGGATTATGCAATAAGACATTTTTATTGTACATAGAGTCACTTATGTACCTTGTGTCCTATCATGGGTTTCACTTCTGCACAGAATATGAAAGGGTGTCAAAAAAGAACCACAAAAGGGGGGCAAAACCTTTTCTGTGTAGACCAGCGCGTTGACTGTAAATTTCTGTCAATTTTCCTTTTATTCACCATTCAATGACCAAGATAGGACTACTCTACAGCACGAAAGTCAAAGAAAAAGCGAGTTGCAATTATCGTGAACGACCGAAATCCAGATGTATAATATTTAAGTGTGTAAGTAACGAACGCATCGTGAGCAGCTACGTAGCAAGGACAAATAAGCTGTATCCAACAGTAGCAAGTACTGAGCGATCTACGCTCAGCACATACCACCATCAAAAGCAAGCTCATAAAAAAGCATAAAGCACGCGAAAAACAAAGTGACTCCGCATCTACGCAAGGTTAGCAAGTTGAATCTGGTTCTTATCTACGTCTGTCGAGAAGTAGACGTTCTTCAAAAACACATCGCCGACTAGCCACTCATTCGCACCACCAATCTGGCCTGAGGAAATTCCGGACACGCAGTCACCTGTTGGGTCGTTCTGGTCAACGGGGAGGAAGAGCAAGTCGCGCGGGTCAATGGCAAAGGAGCGGCCGCCGAAGCTAAGGGCAACTTGGCTGGAACTGGTGCAAGGGAGGGTGAAGCCTCCCTGGCCGTCAGACTTCGCGCCCGGAATAGCGGCGTGTACGGCGTTGGCGTCATCCGTAGGGGCGATGATGAGCGTAGTACCGGTGTCGAGGATGGCAGTGCGTCCAGTAAGTCCGAGATCCTGGCCACCAACAGTGACGGCGTCCATAGCACCCTCCCAGAAACCTTGTGTGTTTACATTGTTGAGCGTCGTCAACGTTGCTTGATCGAACTTGCTCGTATCAAGTCCACCAAAGGTAACCTGCCCATCATTGTTCCCATCTGCGACACGTCCGAGTTTGAACGACGTGATCGCACCGTTAATCTGGTTGTCCTTCGCGAGTGACTCAACAGGTGTAAGCACACCCTGTTCCGAAAGCGTTGACTGTGCAAGACCCATCAAGCCATCAAAAGTCGTCTGGTCACTCGAGAATTGTACACTCTCAGTTGTGGCAACGCCGAATGTGTGCGTCGTGAGGTTAAGTCCAGCAAAGTTGACATTGTCGGTGATGATGTTGCCCTGGACTTCACCCGATCCGTAGGTGACTTGGAACTGCTTGCCAGTATCAACGAAGGAAGAAGACGATCCGGTGCCGAGGAAGGTATGGTTCCCGCAGCCCCCACCATCTTCAGACTGGCAGTTCTCTCCGCCGACCCAGAAGTCAGCGGAACCGGAATCCATGAGGACTTTGAAGTCCGCTCCAGGAGTGCCGATCTGCACGGTCGCGATGTAACCGACGTCATTAGCTCTGCGAACCAAGCACGTTCAGTACAAATCTGCTTCCTGACAGCTCATGACTTGCTTACTCAATGTCAAGCCCAAGGGTGTCAGGTGCAGATGGTTGGTCTGCCGGAGTCAAGCCGCCACCCAAAGCGGCGTTGATGTCGGCTTGAGAGATTCCACCGCTAAAGATAGGTATAGTTAGACAGACTTCTGGATCAAGAAGGGATGAAGGGTAAACCTACCTAGTGCTAGATGAGTTTCCCGAGTTGGCACCACCACCCGTGGCATTGCCTCCACCAGTAGCACCATTGTTAGCACCTCCAGCACCGTTAATAGCACCTCCAGCTCCACCGTCTAAACAATAACTACCTTTAGCATACACTCACACTAAAAATAGACACACGAAAACGTACTTTTGTTCTTGTGTTTTCTAGCCAGGTCATTCCCGCCATTGACAATCTCATTTAGCGCATCGACAGCATCGCCATAGTTGATAGTCTGATCATCATTGGATGAAGTAGCTAAGGAGTTTGCCTGGTTAGCAGGCTTGCTCGACATTGGGACCACACCCTGGCGATTATAGCGTTTTTCTGTGCGCTTGCCGGCCAAGGGTTTACGTCCACCAGCAGGGATATACATGCGCTTGTGGATATTCTCGCGCAGCTCCAATTCAGACGGAGCAGCACGACCACTCATGCGCGCGAGGCGCTTCGTTCCACGGTTCATGTGTTGTTGCAGGAGCTACATCATTTTTACGGATGCAAGGCGATGCAAGCACAAAAGCATGCAGGTAAGGTGGATGGTGACTTGATCAGAAGAATGCTTGGCAATGAATACAACGTGGCTACTCACGATTTGGGGGTGGATATCGCTCCGGGCCTGTGTCATGCGCTTGAGCGGGAGGGTGATGGTGCCCGCATCGCGCTTCGCTGGGCGAGCATCGACATCGCCCGTAAGAGAGATTGCAAGGAGCAGACTCGTCAAAAGCGTAGAGAAGGAAACGAAGAGCTGCATTGTAATTCTAGATCCTGTCCTTTAATTGAAAAAAATCAAAAGATTGAGGCAGTCCTAGCTGGCGAAGTATAGCCCAAGGGAAATTGACAGCGAAGATGAAACGGCACCCGGCCGACAAAAAAAGTGAGTAAGGAGGGAGAGTAAGTAAGAGGGAGAGGAGGAGGATGAAAGAAGGAAGGAAGGTATATGAAGTGGAGAGGCCATCAGTGCTGCGGGTTGTATTTGTACTCCTGACTCGTGGCCGATTGTTAGAGCATATTTGCCGGGCCTGTCCACTTGCTTCATCCTGATTCCTCTTGGAAGCATGTTCATCTGTTCCGATTTGTCATTTGTCGTCGCAACATCCCGATGGCGTACTTGTTGCCATCAAATCTGCAGCCGGTCGCCGTCAGCAGCAACGAGAACACGGGAGGAAAGCAACAATTGACGCGGGCCTGTGCTACGCGGTGTCCTTTCATGTGGTCTGCCCTGTGCTCCGTTGACACAACTTTCGCTAAAATAATGAGCGGCTCTTGGCAGCTAAGTAAATTGCTCCTTCTTGTCCAGAGTATGGCCTCAGTTGCTCGAGAAAGCTGTTTCTGCAAGATAAAGTGGCTTTTTTTCAACGTTTGGAATGGACCAGTTGCGGATGCGGCGGCCGGATGAACTCAAGTGCTCCGGGGGCTCAACAAGTTCGGAATCGAACAATCGACACCGCGACGGAGCCATTCAAAAATAGACCCTTAATTCTCGGCCGTAGTCCACTGACCACCGCAACCTCAATCACAAACACATCATTTCTCCATCTCATCCATGCGATGGTCGCTCTACTTGGCCATCTGCAGAATAGGGCAATTCTCATTCTCATTAAGCACGTTTGTACTGTCCATGCAAAACAACTATGCTTCCTGAGGTACGCCCGGTATATTTTGCCCGCCACGTCGACAAGCAAATGATCACATGAAGTTACATCAGCTTCTTTAGAACTTCACCCAAAATTAACAGTTCTATTGTTACATAACTTACAAATCTGGCTTCTTCCCGAATTGGGATCACCTGGAGACGCGATAAATTCTCACTCAGATTCGACGCTTGCGCAGTGCGTCCAGCAACCAACGGGTGCAAATTCACATCCTTTGGATTCTGTTCCGCTTAATTGCTGTTACTTATCCCCGCGTATGCGCCTAACATTCATCAGTACAGTCCCTTCTCGCCACACCACATTTAGAACGGAACGGAAACAGATTCAGAAATCGAGTTCTCTCAAGGCGCTGGAAAACGTAGCCAAGCGCTTATGCTATCTCTGTAAGACATCGGGCATGGATGATTGGGGCACAAGTGGAGTGTCGGGAAGACAAAAACTTCCAAGTCCTGACAAATTTGACATACCCTTTTCTGACATCCTTTCATGTGCTAGCAACAGTCACAATGAAAGCACGCGGGACGAAACCGACTGAAAGTTGACATGGCTTCGAATGGTGTTCGAAACGGATACACTTACCCCGCATCAGTAATTCAGTAATACAAGATTCCATTCACTCACATCTGACTGGAATAGTAAGTACACTACTTAATCAGACTCACCCGATTGGTATGCCGGTGTGTTAAGAATATTAATAGCCATCTGATCACTGAAGACTGATTAGATCTGGACGTCACTAACTGCATCGCACTCGAGCTCGCTTTCCCATCTATCTATCATGCGCTCGTTGCTGAGTCTATTGTCTACCTATGAATCATGCCGAGTGTATGCTCTTGCTGCAAAACACGCCGAGTGTATGATCTCGCTACGAACATGCCGAGTTTATGATCGAGTTATGAATCATCTCGCGTCTATGATTTACCTATGAGCATGGCGAGACTACGATCTAGCTGTAAATCACGCCAAGTCTGTTATCTACTAGTAACTATAAATTAGCCAATACATTCGTTGTATGTACATCACCGAATAATGCTCTGCTGCCTCAACGTTTTGCTTCTTTTCGAGTTGATGGAGCGTCAAAGGCCCAAGCAACCATCCGCAATTTTCTGCATTTTGTTCTTATTAGTCGAAGAAGTGTTAAGATATGGGCAACCATCTGTTTTACTCAACGCTTCTGCTCTTACAAGTTGAAGAGGTATTGAATTTCTGAGCAACCATCTGTGCGTTCCAACGCTTCTGTCCTTATTGATCAAAGGAGTTCCCGAAAGTACAGATTACCATCTACGGCTTTCAACATATTGTCCTTACCCATTCTTCAGAGTGTTGGAGGCCTAAGCCACCATCTGTTATCTTCAGTACTTTGCTCTTCCCCTGGGTAAAGAAGAGTCAAATGCATGAGAGACAATCTGAGACATTTGGCATTCGGCATTTAATGATCTTACTACCTTTAGTCGAGGAAGTGTCGAATGTATAGGTAACCATCTAGGGCTCTCAACATTTTGTTCTTACTTAGTCAATGTAGTGTTGGACACCTAGACCACCACCACGACCTGCGACTTCCAGTACTTTGTTCTTCTTCGGTCGATGGAGAGTCTAAAGCATATGCAACTATCTGTGGCCTCCAACACTTATCCTTACCAGCTGAAGAGGCGTCGAAGGCATGTGTCACCATCTGTGAGTTTTTGAATTTGTTCTTACCCAGCGGATAAAGTGTTGGAGGCATAACCAACCATCTGTGGCCCTCGGCACTTCCTAACTAACAATCGATTAAAGACTGAAGGTATAAGGAGACATCTATCAACTCCTTTGGTGGAAACATTGTTGTGCAAGACTTGATGAATGAACACACTAATTAATCATTATGCTAGATTACACAATACAGCAGAGTGGCACATAAAAAATAAGCATCAGTATATAGAATTAAAAACTGCAAGGTCTTGAAACTGATAAACTGTCCTTGTACTATTCCACTGGGATAAATTAAACTCATAAGCAAAAACAATATGATAAAAATTGATGATAAATCCCTGATAAACAGAATATTTTCCTGTTTCAATTCTGACTCTGCCTCATTTTTTCTCCAGAGACACTGTGTGTTCATAATTCCCTGCTAGACAGACGAAGATTTTTCACAACAAGACAGTTAATAAATTCTACTTACCCTTTTGATTACAAAGATCAAGAAGATATCTCCGGCGCTGTTACTCACAAGTTGGTCAGTTTGTTTGTAAACTACCAACAGATGCTTTTGACGCTGCTGAAACAATGATGGTTGTAGAGGTGTTGTGTTTTGAGCCACAGCATCTGTTAAAAGGCTCTGGCATGGGTCTCTCACTCTCCACCCGAACTTCTCAAAATTCCTAAGTGGAGTTGACCTTCTTTACTCAGTTTGTGTGTGATTGACAAAAAGCTTTTGTGATCTTTGTCTTACTAATCGACTAATCTCCTCAATCAGGCCAGGCAATTATGTTCCGTCACTACCTCACTCAGGCTGCTATGGCCTTGTGTCTATTTGCTTTCCTTATAAATGCCTCTCCACTACCTCAGGTACTTGCATCCCACGCATCATTTGTACACAAATTTGACTAACGACCAAACGCTCCTCAACTTCAATCCTCTCTAGTCTGTTTCTATTGATTCGAGTGACAATGGTTTCAAATTGTCCAGCCATCTGGCCAACCCCGAGCGATTTGCTCCCAGCCCAGGCAATGTTCCAGGATCAAACGACTTCTGTGGTGAATCACTTTTATGCTAGTTTGACTATATGTATCAGTGTATGTGCTGTGGTCGATAATCAGTCATTACCATAATTAGAGCTTGTCTTGACTTCCATGTATGCAAGGGAGTTATCCAGGAAGTCTTGAGATTGCTCGAAAGAACACCTCAAGGAACAGCAACGATATTTGCAGAGTAAACTAAGCAGAATTATAACAAAGTCGGAGAGGGTGTGGCGCAGGAGTATAAAATCGGTACATGCAGTGCGATAAATGATATGAATAAAGATGGCGCTGAGCGAGGAAACGTAAATAAGGTATCTGTTTAGTAACGCGTCAGGGATATTCTGTAATCGGCAGTTTTCAAATTCCTTGGGAGGATTGAGTCGGCCAGCGAACTTCTCCAGGTGATTTCAATATGAGCTCTGAGTACCACCTTGCCTCTATATAATGTGCGCTTCAGACGTCGGAGAGTGGAGAGCTACATGTAGGTATGAGAAGTACCTTGACTAGATCCAATAATATCGTCATATGCCCTAGATAAAATTCACAAATAAATACATATTTATAAGGGTTTAACCTGCCTGTTTTACTCGCCTGTGAGAACATGTGACAGAAAAGCGCTTAGAGCGATTGTACTTCCGACGGACAGCGTGCTATTAGACTTGAATTAGGAGGAGGAGTACACTATTTAGCGGACAGAATCCCGAAGCCTACCCAGAGTGTTGTTGTATCAAAGATCTGATGGCTAAAGTACGCATTGAGCTTCTCCATGTGTTTCCTCTACAAATGAAATAAGTCAAGAGAAAAGGTAGAGGGAACATTAGCAATTAGAAAGAATGATAGGGTAGAAAGAAATGCGAAGACGTACGACCATGCCACGGTCAAATGCAACTCCGGCACCTGCCATTACGGCGCGTCCATCCGCTTCGATCCCATGTCGCTCAAGATATTTGATGATACGACGCTCGACTTGATAAAGAGTGAGACGTTCCTTTGGTGGCGTCTTGTCGTAAGCGGCCAGAAGCCCGGACTTGATATGATGATAATGATAAGTCAGATTACTGCCGAGAACGCAGCCGTGAAGCGGTCATCACACCTTTTCATGCATTTCTCTAACTCTATGTCCCAGAACAAATTAATGCAATGTATGGTGACAGAGGAGGGGAGACAATACTTTTGTGGCATTTCCTGAACGATCTCCTGGGCAGAAAGCGGCCAATGCACGAGGAATGACTTGCCATTATCAAGCTGTTGGTAGTTCTTATCCGTGATAAGTACTGCGATCTCAAGGATCCGGATCTTTGACGCTGGACGAACGGCGTCTGTCGTCTTCATAACCAATGGAGTTGGTAAAGCAGAAGGTGAATTATCATATATCACATACATACCTCTAAATCAAACCAAACGAGATAGGTTGATGGGTCGCACACGGGGTTTGGTGCGAGCTCATACCTCATATCCAAAGTCTGCCGAGTACCTTCATAGCCGGAAATAGTACTCGTAGTGCTCGTTGTCGATGAACCACCCTCTCCATAAATGAATTCTGGGCGGTGAGAGCTACTCGAAGCGCTTTTGGTAGTTTCAGTTCCAGTTACTGCCGTTTGGAATGAAGAGTGAGAGGGCGTGCTTGCATCCGCAGAACTAGAGGCAAAGGTATTCCTTGAGGACGAAGAGACCGTTGGTGAGGTGACAGATGGCGTCTCCGAAGATTTTACACTTGGCTCTGCCTCTTTCTCGTACTCAGAACTTGCGGGAGTCAAGGGTGCATGACCGCGGAAGAGCACTCGTCGCGACGTTTCCGGTTCCTTGTCCGTCATATCACTTTCATTCTCAGTTCCTGCACTCTCCTCATTTGCTCTGGGCCATGAAACAAGGAGGCTTTTCAGATCACGCTTGGTACGCTTTATCTGAGAAAGACTCCGTTTAAGGTGACGTTTTTCTCGTGCAAGAAAGCTAAAGGATGCAGATTAGTATTGCAACATACAATAGAGTGCATCCATTACTGAGATAACGAACCGTAGATCATTGTCAATCTCTCGTGCTTGGCTCTCTCCTTCACGGATGTAATCCGGAACACTTTTGTGCTTTCCCTTAGATTTTGCCTTCGGTGTTAACGAAGTAGAAGGGGTTGGGGATACTGGGGAAGGGGGTGCGGTGGAGATATGCGACGGAGTGCTGTATGGTAGAGAAGTCTGCACGCCAACAGAGGCATAAGAGACAAGTCCTGAAGATGAAAAGCTCGTCCTTGGTATGCGAGACAGAAGTGTGTTTGGTATGTACAGCTCTTCTGAGGGAGATACGCATCCTTCAGGTGTCGCGAACTTAACTTCTTCAGAACTAGTTCCGTCGGTGCTCGTTACTGATTGCTTGCTGTTCCCAGTGCTATTATTCCTTTGCACAGCAAGAATGTCGTAAAAACTTGCATGCGGAGTGAGTAGTCCATGGGAGCGAACACTTCTACTCTTCGAGCTAGAGTCGGAGCTTCCGGAGCCTACATTGGAACCAGAGCTCCTTGAGGTGTTATTGCTGTTGTGAGCTGTGGTGGATTGAAGGGGACTCTGCCAATTTGTATCGCTAATCGTAAGTTGTATCGTAGGTGACGATTTGTCCCGCACCATTTGAGGCGCGACAAATCTTCCCGGCATTTCTACCGCGGATAGGATTGAAGAGGATTCACTTGACGATGGCATCCTGAGTAGACACCTTTAAATACTGTTGTGTGTGCTTGAGCTGAATCCTGATAATGGCGGCGACTAGGCATTACAGGAACTAAACTTGGCGACGCGTATACTTACTGTCGTTTTCATAAATATTGTCACACGCGCGATTCGTGATTTTCGTCACACTAAGTACACTCAAATACAAAATCTATCATAACTCAACTAATACTTAACC